TGAGAGAGATATTGATATTGAATTTATCATCATTTTGGATTTTGAAGAGTAGTTAATTGATATTATCTTCACTAATATAATAGTGAAGTTTAAAATAAATAGGATAAAGTTTGAGGTCTTCATAAAATTTTTCTGCATAAATAGTTTTATATTTATTGTGAAGAATAAGATGTAAATGGGCCAAGTTAAAAGCTACTTGTTTTCAATTAGTAGTAGTATATGGTAAAATAGAACTGTAAGAGGCAAAGATTTTTGAATAATTAAGTTGAGTAAATAGGATTGTAGTAAATTCTTGAAGAAGAGAAATAAATATAGAATGAATTAGTTCAAATGAAATAGATATTGATTTATCGATTGAAGAATTTGCTTTATAAATAAGATCAGTCAAAAATTTAGATCTTTTTTCTGCTAAAGTTTTAACTAAATATTTATTATTAAGTTTTGATTCAGGAGTTTTGTCAGATGCTGGTTAGATAATTTTTCCTAGATAAATATCAATAAAGTATGGTTTAATAAAAATAAAAAGTTGCTGAGCAATAGGATTGTTAAATTTGGTGTTATTTTTTATTGAATCAGTTACTGGATATTCTTTAAACTAATCAAGATCATTGCTAGTATCTCTTTGGTTTTCTTTTTTCTTTTGTTTTTGTTGTTTGGAATACTGTTGTTTTTTGTTTTTCTTTAAAAGAAAGGATTTGAGAAGTTGGATTTTTTCATTGGCTTTCATTTTTTGGATTTTAATAAGAGCAAGAATTAGTTGTTGCTTAAGAGTAAGAGAAAGAATAATTTGTTTTTTAGAATTAGAAGAGAAAGCTTGGGTATTTAAACTAATAAGTTTGGATTTGATTAAGGCTATAATTATTTGTTGTTGGAATGTAAAAGGAGAAGTTTGTGCTAATGGTTTAAATTTAATATCCAATAAACCAGGAACACAAAGTCTATGAATTAAATTTTGTTTAAAGATTGTGCAAACTGCATAATCAGGAGCATGACTGCATTGTTCCGTAGCCACACAAGGGATATTTTTAGTTCTACATATAAGACATGTATAGTAGTGTTGAGAATGTGTGACAATTGCAGAGAGTGTAGGATCTATTTGAAAACTAGGAAATAGCATACGAGATTTAGAAGAAGATAGATCAGATTGTTGTTGTTTTGGAGTAGGTGATTGAGGTAGTTCATCAGAAATTTTTCTAAAACAGCTAACAGAAATAGTAGAAGTAGTTTGAGTCATAGCTTGTCCAAAGAAAGTAGCATAAGGGATTCTGTAGAACTGAAAAGTGAAACTAGTATAGTATGTTTCACAAAGATATGTGACAATAATGGGTTATTAAAGAACTTTGAAATAATGATGTTTTTTGGCAGTATTACAATTGGATTAATATCTGCCAAAAGTACATGTAAGGATTGAGGTTTTTCTTCGATCATTCTTACTCTATGGTGATCTTTATATTTACCATAATAGTAGTCAATGTCATAAGAGTCAAGGTTTTCAATAACTAAGATAGACATAGTTTAAAGCTTAAAAATTAAAAACAAAATGAATAATAAAGATCTTGGATGTAAAAGGATCTGAAAGATATAGGGTGTGACAAATAAGAGAGTATAATGAACAAGAGGATATGAAAAATAAGAAATGTGATGAGTAAATAGGTGTGACAAATAAGAGTATATAACAAATAAGTAACACAGAATGTGCAGATTAAATTGTTACAATAATCAACGTTAAACAAATTTTTTGTAATAGTTAATTGAACCAAAATTAGAAAAGATTAAAATTTGTGTTAAATTAATTAATTGTATGACTTTTGGTAGTGATTTGCAAGTGCTAGGTGTCCGAGGATACAGGACCCCCCCAAAAAATAAAATTTTTTGCAAAAAAAGAACAAAAGTTTTGTAAAGGAGTTTTGAAGGTTTTTTGTATAAAACCTTCAATATTAATCCAATATTGATATATAATATATCAAAATGAAGCTCTAAGTGAGCTCTGTCTTTTTGTATTAGAAAGCAACTAAAGTTAGCTTAATAAATTATTGAAAAATTTTAGAAAAAGTATTTTGCAGTTTAATAAATATATTTCACTATACAGAGGTCCAGAAAATATAAAACTAGGCCGCTTATATGTAAAATTCTGGTGTAAACAATTTTACTTAGAAGGCCAAATAAGGTTTACTTAATAAATTATTTAGTTATTGCAAGTTTATTATCAGAGAATTTAGGTACAAGTGATTGTTGAGAAGAGTTAATGATTTGCGTCAATAGTTACATTCTTGCACTTTATATAAAAGAAAGAATCTTTTATATATTCTTATTTAAAAATCACAATATGCACTTAGCTATTTCAAAGCTATAATTTTTAAGAGTTTTTTTATTTCATCAAGATTGTGTTTATAATTTCCAATATATTAAACTCAAAGATCTTTTTAAAAAAAAAACCTCACAAAAGAACAAAACTTTATTTTTTATTTTTACTATTACTACAAACTTACTAAAAAAAAAGTTAAATTTCTTTAAAAATTTGTTTTTATAGGCAAAGAAATTAAACAAAAATCTAAATATTTATCAAAACAACAACAATAAAAAAATACAACAAAGAGTGTGGTGACCTAGTGAAGTGGTCAGGTTGTCAACCATCCAAGTGGTAGGTTGGGTGTTCAAATCTTATCGACAGCAAAAATTTGAATAATCACCTATGTAATATTCATATTATGGCAACTGTTACTAATAATTAGGTTAGGATATTTGTAATGGCAGTTATACCAACATAATTGGCAGGTTATGGGACATCTGTGTAAGTATAGCATTATATAGAAAAATGCAAACCAACAAATTAGACAGTGTAAACACTAGATAAGTTCTTGTGGCTGTGTAAATTCATTGAAATTGGATAATAAAAAGTTCATTTGAAAAGACCTGAGTAGAGAGGTAGCTGGATCTTCGATAGCTCTACTATAAAGGCTAGCATAAAAAAATGGATACCAAGGTTATAGTATCTGGTCATAGTAACTGGATGGGCAAGAACCTTTGGGTTGGAAGTCTCAGAAGGTACCACCAATCAGGCTGCCAGAACAAACCAGAGAAAAAGGATATTGGGCCAACCTGATATACCAATGGACTAGTTTTAGTCCTACATAGGCTATCTGAATTAAGAGTTTGGTAAAAAAGCAGATAAAAAGGCAGAAGTATACTAAAGTACCAGAGTTATGCTGTGAAGTAGATTTTGGAGTCTAAATGAACTCTATAAGGGCATAGTAGTTTAATGGTTAGCTCTGATCACAAGTATTAGTTCTATCATAGTGATATCTAGGTCAGCTATAAAAATAGATACAAAAGGCTCTGGGGGGTTTATCTTAAAAATAAATTAGTTCTAAAGTTGAGATAATAATCTGGGCATCTGAGTATAATCCAGTGAGTTAATACAGATTACAGATTTAGAGGGTTTAAAATAAAACACCCAAGCAGGAATATTAGATATAGCAATTAGTAGCAAACCTTTAGATGGACTTCTTAAATAGGTAATATAAAAAAGTTACATGTGTAGCCAATTGTACTCTCTCCTGTAGTAGTTTATTGAACCACAATACCAATAAGTGATTAATAAAAGTTAAAAGACCAAAAAGGTTACCTTAATACCAAAAAAAAAAAAAAAATACAACATACCTAACTCAGAACACTTTCAAATATCTGAACTGGTTTTTTAACTATCCAATTATAGAAAACATAAAATAAAATACCAAACTTATACATTACTAGCTTAACAACTTTTTACATTTTCAAAAGTTCATCTTTATAAATTTATTCTTAGTTAACTAATTTCTTCTACTTTAAATAATACTTAACTAACTGCAAACCAAAACCTTCTCAAAAACAAAGTTTTAATTATTTACTTAAAACAATAACTGCTAAAAAACCAGAATTTCTTATGAACTTCCTTTATTAATCTAATCTATCACTCTTATTTTAACTTAAAATTCTGCAATATGCATATATCTCAATACTTAAAAATTTACTTACTAAATTTACTAAACTTTTTTTTATTAAACTAAACTATTTATATATTTTTTGCTCTTATTACCGTAAACGGCCATATAAAAGACCCGGGTCTGTTACATTTTCCTAATTTTATACCCAATAATAGACCTGTGGGTCTATTGTACGGATATGGGTCTGATAATCAGGGGGAATTTTATATAGGAGGGTCTAGTACTAGGTAGTATATATATAGCACTATCGAGATTTGAGTTACAAGCTACTTGAATATTTTTAACGGCAGTATAATGTAATGAATAGCATGACAAGGAATTATCTGTGATCTTAGACCCGGTGGTCTATATTTTATTTAGACAATTCTGATATTAAAAACCAAACCTACAATAGCGGCAAAAAAAAAAATAAATTTAAAAAACTCAAACCAAAAAAAAAATAAATAAATAAATAAATAAAAAATAAATCAATATAAAAAAAAAGTCAAATATAATAACTAAATATCTTTGCCCACGTCGTTATTCTGCAAAAGTGTGAAGTCTATCTTGTAAGATTTTTTTTTTTACTATTTGTTAAATAAGTTATATTTTTTAAAATATTAATTTTATCGTTATTATTTTAACAAATTGATTAAAAATTAGGAACTTGACATTTGAAATTAAATAAAATACATAATGAAATTCAAAGGAACGAGAATCTTGCGACTTAAATTTTATATGTAAATATTTGTGTTTGTACAAATTATTTGCTATGTAGTGATTTATATAATTTCTCAAAGCGTGATTATGGAGATGCTACAGATATATAATTGACTTATAAGTGTAATTAACATGTGTATTTGTTACATATTATATAATATGTATAATTCGAAAAAGAAAAAAAAAGAAAGATCGTATTTTACATTTTTGTCGTCTCAACAAGTTTTTTCTAGCTAAGGGTAATAAGTAAAATAAGTAAATTTTATTGTTATACGTATTATTAACTAATATAGATTTGGGCATAGTATCGGTATTAAAATGGGACAAAATAGAGCAAACTTAAAGCAGGCAACAATTACTAAAAAAAAAAAAAGAAGTTGGAATGCGTGTGAAAAGTTGGCTATCATTACATATCTCGAAAAAAATCCTACAGCAAGCAAACGACACACTGCAAAAACATTTGAAATAACACCAAAACAACTGCGTGAATGGATTAAAAAAAAAAATGAATTAAAAACTGTTTTACCTTTTGTTAGACGGTTAAATACTGGTTCACGTCCGAAATATCTACTTTTGGAAGATGAGCTTAAAACCTGGATCAGATCTTTACGTTCTGCTCAAAAAGTTGTATCTCAAAATATGGTTAAAACTAAAGCAAAGCAACTCGCAAAACAATCATGTTTTACTTCACTTTACCCGACGATTAATGAATGCAAGTGGAGTGATAAATGGCTTTCAAGTTTTATGCGTCGAAATAGATTTAGTAATAGACGTCGTACTACTGTTGCACAGAAGTTGCCCGAAGAGTTGGAACCTCTAAGAAATGAATTCTTGAATTATGTATTATTTT